AATCATTTCCAAATCATCAGATTCATCAATCTCAATTTCATTGGAAGTGGTTGGAAATTGATCATGAATTAATTTTTCAGTAAAGTCCACTTCCTGTAAATCATTATCATCTCTAGGTTGCTTGCAAATGTTGAAAATATTCATCTCCAATGTCATGTTTCCAAATGATAGCTTCATCAGTCCATTCCTACAATTAATCAATGCATTAGAAGTTGCAAGAAATGGACGTCCTAAAATAACAGGAAATGAATTACATACTTCAACAGGTTGTGTGTCCAAGACAATAAAATCCACAGGATAAATGAATTTATCGACTTGTACTAACACATCTTCAATTATTCCTCTAGGCACTTTTATAGATCTATCGGCAAGTAAAAGAGTTATAGAAGTTGGTTTTAACTCACCTAGATTGAGACTCTGAAAAACTGAATATGGAAGTAAATTCACACTAGCACCAAGATCAAGTAAGGCTCTTTCAATTTTATGCTCTCCAATAAAGCAAGAAATTGTAGGACAACCAGGGTCTTTATATTTCAAAGCATTATTGTTCTGAAGAATAGCACTTACTTGTTCGGCTAGAAAGGCTTTCTTTTTCACATTCAGTTTCCTCTTCACAGTGCATAGATCTTTCAAAAATTTAGCATAGGAAGGAACCTGTTTAATAGCATCCAGCAAAGGTATATTGATCCTTACCTGTTTGAAAATTTCATAAATTTCAGAATTGTGATTGACTTTCCTTTGTTTGGTCATGGCTTGAGGAAATGGAAGTGCTGGCGGTGAATCAGTCGTTTCTTTGCAATTTTCAGATTCAACCCCTTCCTTACCCTCAGAGATTGACTCATCATCTTTCTCATAAGGTTCAAGAGAGGGTTTTTCAATAACCTTACCACTGCGCAGAGTAGTGACTGATTTGACTTGATCCATGTGTTGGCTTCCGGAACTACTTGCATTTGCATTGTATTGCCCTTTGGGATTTTGTTGTGTTTGAGATGGAAACTTACCTTTCTCTTGGAAACTGAGAGCAGATGTTAATTTAGCAAGAGTATCTTTAAAATCTATCATGTTTTGAGCAAGTTGAGTATTGATTGTCTCTTGCTTTTCAATGAATGCATACAAAGTTTCCTCAAAATTTCTTGTAGGAGGTGGAGCATAAGGAGGTGCATATCCATGAGAATTTTGGAAATTATGGTGTGCTTGAAACGGTGGTTGTGAAGTTTGTGCATTGTCACTCTTCCAACTAAAATTTTGGTGATTTCTCCAACCAGGATTGTATGTTTGGGAGTATGGGTTGTGGTTGGCCCTTTGAAAACTGTTTAAAGCATGGGCTTGTTCATGGAGACATTCTTTAAAAGAAGGCAAGGTTGGACAATCGTTGGTTGAGTGTTCATTTGTTTCACAGATTTGACACACAATGTTTTCAACAGATTTTAATTGACCACTCTTTTTCAATTCTAGTGCCTCGACTTTTCTAGCTAAAGATGCAAACTTGGCTTGAAGGTCATGATCTTCCCTAAGGTTGTACATACCTCCACTAGATGTATGAGGTTGAGTTTTACTCGGTGCCTCATATGTACCCGCGGTGTCCCAATTTTGAGCATTTTCAGCTAACAAGTCTAAGTGTCACATACTGAAATAATGATTTATTGTAAATCATATAGTTTGTGGCACCCTGAGTCAATGATTCAACTTGTATCTTGAACCGTGAATGTAGAAAACATCATTCCAGTGTTTTCTGAGGTTAGAAGGGAGTCAGCTATATTGGCTTAAGAGAGTATTTCACTTGGTTTAATATGGTCTCTTTGACTTGTTGCCATAGCAGCAACACTAGAAGGAATCTCCACCGTATTGGCTGATTTTGCTTGGCCTGGATGTTTATTGCTACGTGCTTTACTATACTTTCATTTTTCTAATAACCGTTCAAGATAGCCATGAATTTCAAAACAGGTGTCTCTGGTATAAAGACTTTCATTACAATGATTGCAACGCAATTTATCCTTTTCTACTTCCTTAACAGCTGTAAAGGTGTGAAAGTTAGAGGAGGCAGTGGATTTGGAAATCATTGCCATGAAAGTACCTTAACCCGTGTTCTTTGTGCCAAGCATGGTGACTTGGCATTGAGCCTCTCATCGAACAGTATAGAAGCACTCTTCAATACCTAGAACAGATTTCATGCGAAGAAGATCACTGCGTACTGGGTCGAATACCTCATCTAGTCCCGCGAGAAAGTCATAAATCCAATCTTTTTGAATTTCTTCTTGTCTGGTTCTAAGGTCTGTAGTACACATCATGTTAATTGGTCATTGTTTATCAATTTCTTGCCAAACGCTGTTAAGTTTTGCATCATATAAGTTAATTGGACATCCATTCTATTTTGTTTTTGTTACCTTGCAGCATAACTTATAAAATTGAGACTCATCAGCCACATCATAGAAGGTTTAAGTGACACTGTCCCAGATTTCCTTGGCTGATGAAAGGTGTATAAATAAGCTGATGAGATGGGGCTTCATGGTTTTTAGCAGCCTTCCTCGCACCACTGCATCTTTAATGCACCATCTTCAGTAACCGAGATTTCCTTATTCCATTCTAGTGTTCTGTCCATTTAATTAGCTAAGTTTGTTCAACCCAGCAGTGTGAAGCTCAATCATTTATGACCAGTTGAAGCTTGTCTCATTCAATTTGAATCCAAAGGGTAAGTTGTTTAGGTTGGGTGATTCAACAGAGACTAGAGTATGGTTTATAGGATTTATAGAGGTATTTGTATCATCCATAGTTGGTCCTTTTTTTCAAGATTAATTCCGGATGGGGGCTATAAAGAGAGAAGAATTTTAACTATACTCGGATACCATGATAAAGTTTAAAGTTTAGGTTTTATTCAACTGTGCTTCTTATTCTTCTCTCTTGGAGGAATGCCTTATATAGGCAAACATATATATGGCAGTTTACAGGTTTCCTGTTCTGAAAGGAATAAATTTCCTATTCTAAAAGGAATACCTTAATGTGTATCCTTTTAAAACTCCTATGAAATATACCTTTTGTATATGGAAAAGTATTCTTTAATTCGGCTAATTACATGTTAACACTAATTGCCTCACAGAAACTTCTTTATATTGATATATTTCCTTTCATCCATAAATAGGAAAATCAAACACATTTGTTTACTTCACGAAAAATTAACCTTTCAAGAGTTTAGAGAAATCAATAACTAGCTTAGAGTTTTGTGTCTTAAAAAAAAACAAGCTAGTACCGGAATTTTTTTTTTTATTAACGTGAATGTCTGGGTTAGTTTGCGCTTAATTGAACTAATTTTATAGGCCCTGAAATTAATAATCATATAAGTCTCTAATGACCCTAAAATTTATGAGATTCAAACTGATGATCTTTAAAAACCAAACTCAAAACTTACCAATTAAAGTATACCTCGCAGGTTAGCTCAAGAAGTTTCTTTCACTCAAGGTTGTGGCAATGGGTTCTTCCTTTACGCATATGGCTTGCCCGGTGGTAATCTGCGAGGGCCTGTAGAGGAGGCAGCAAGGTTTTCACAAAATAATTCGTAAAGTTCAAACTATACAGCAATGGTTTCCTAAAATCCATTTGGACGAGGGAAGAACAGCATAAGCTACAGGTGGCATGGTTTAAAGAGATCAGCCTGTCAAGGACTTGCATTTGCAGGGATATTGGCATGGAGAGATTGCACCAGATTCTCTCTCAGTCTCTTGGCAAGAATACTGGAAAAAGAATCAAGCTCTTTTTCAGGATTTTTGAGTTCATATCTGACTATGCTCCATAGATGTGTCTCAAATGGTAAAAGTAGGTGGGATATCGGTCTCCTGGTAAGAAAATTTAGAAAAGGCCAGACTGATAACAGAGAAAGATCAGAAATCCGGCCGATTTCATTGATTTTTCATGAAGTAGAGGATGATTCGGCTCAACCTACAGGTTCAGGCCACATCGTAGAAGAAAGGTAACAGCATCTCCAGGACATTGTTACAGGGACAAGCCAACTAGAAAATATCAAACAAGGCCGACAGAAGCTACCTCTTCGATTCGGTTTCTCTTACACCTTGAACAATGTTTCTTGGTAGGTGATGGAGAGCTCCTCCATATCTCTTAAACCCATAACAAGCTGTTCTTGATAAGCTGCGGATCGCTTTCGATCTCGTTGTAGCTGAGCAGTCAATTCTCGAATCTTTACATCTTTTTCCAGGTTTTATATACACAAGAAATGCCCAAAACCCCATGGCCGTAACTTTTTGGCTACTAGAAGAATTGGCCTCTGTGAAGTAATTCAGAAAGACATGCATGCCTCAGTTGAAGTTTTGATTCTTTTCGTGCTATCTCGAAATTGTTCATGGCTATGAAATGCATGCTTCAGATTTGAGAGGATAACCATTCAATCAAATTTTAAATTTCTCGTTAGTGACTATTGGTACTAGAAAAGCAAAAAGAGGCTTCAACAAAATGACTCATACAAAACAACTAATTACCATAAAAACCATAATTTAGAGGAAATTTAGTTCCTGTGTAATAGTAAAATCTTGATGAATAATTCTGGAGTAGTTTAATGGTTCAAATTTTAAATTTATTTTTTAATAATTTTAATTTTAATTTTTTTAAAAATCATTAAAAAAATTTATAGTTATTAATTTTAAAATTTATGAAATTAATCAATAAATAACAAACTGGTTTAAATATCTATCTTAATAAAAAAATATTCTGACTGATATAATTAAAAACCTGAATTAATGAACTAACATAGTCGAGCCTATCATGACCATGCTAAAACTAGTCCTCCACTAATTAATTTTTTTAATGAAAAAACATTATTTATTTTAAATTAATTTTAGTAGTTCATGACCCGAAGTTTGATTAAGGTACACCCCCGAGTTTTAAAACCAGGATGTTGGGGTCTGGTTTCTCAATCATACACTTGTATGGAAAAATTAATGACGTATAACTTTTCATTTGTTATTATTCTTTAATCTCTCAGTCAATTAATTTTGTTAAAATTAATGGACGCGTGGTAATTTTAATATAAATGGAACACCTACACTACTACTGATTTCACAAGAAGATCGCTTGGCTACTCTCAATTTGGATGCCTCAACTCCGCTCTCTCTTTCGATTCTCAGTAAGTTGCCTCTCTTTCTCTCCTCTACCCAACTGCCCGATTTCGACCCATCGATCGATGGAGCTTACCATGAATGCCGGATATCATATGAGTTTTATCTTTTTAAAAGATTTTTAGTCTTTTTTTTTTAATAAGAGATTATTGCTGCTGTTCTAATTAATTAACGTTGCAGTGGATGTCGAAGAAGAAGAAGAAGCTGGAATTGTAGAACCTTGTGTTGGTATGGAGTTTGAATCTGAAGATGCTGCCAGGAAGTTCTACTCAGAGTATGCTAGACGGCTAGGATTTGTTGTGCGTGTTATGCAGCGTCGTCGTTCTGGGATTGATGGGAGAACTCTTGCTCGTCGTCTTGGATGTAACAAACAGGGTTTTTCTCCAAATAATAGGACTATAGTTGGTCCTGGTCCGGACAAGAAGCCAAGGCCCAGTGCGCGAGAAGGTTGCAAAGCAACCATCTTGGTTAAAATGGACAAGTCTGGTAAATGGGTCGTTACTAGATTTGAAAAGGATCATAATCATCCTTTGGTTGTTACTGCTTCTGGGTTCTCTTCATCGGTTAGTATCTCTACCATACCTTGGTTGGTTGTTCATAATTTGTGTTTTCAACAGTCATTAAGTTTGTTTATATATTAGAAATATGTTCTTGTTTGTATCCCTTGTAGTGTGCTAAATGCGAATACATGAATCTTTATAGCGGTGCTAAATGGGAATACATGAATTGCATATATGTAATTAATAACTCTAGTTGTTTCCGGATTTTTCTGTGAAATCCCAATCGCTGCTAGAGTATGTACATTTCTACGGATTAAATTACGGATCTCGCTGTGGAGACAGCTCGTGCTTTCTCTATTTAGCTACTCCTAAGACTGTTTAGTGGGGAGGGTTAGGTTTTGGCTTACATGTATATAATGATTATCCCCGTCATGTAGTGGTTGCCTGATTTGCATTTTTTTATCGTTCTCAATGCTTAAAGAAACCGGAAAACTGCGTGCGTGTGTAAAAGGATCCCCTTTCTTACTGAATCAAGTACTGTTAAAAGTTTTGACTGGTATATGGTGGCCTTAGGCTTACCATCATCTCAGTATGACAGGATGTTCTATTTACAGTCCTTACTACAAAAGGCCGTGTTGTTGTATTGCATTTTACTCTTAGCCATGCCATTAACTATATCTAAAACTCTTATTTGCTGTTCTTACATCCATTAATTATCACTCGCTTTGTTGTGTGCAGCTCTTAATTGTAATACACCCATTGCCTTTATTGAGTGTTTCAGGCTTTCAGCAGCTGTATGCATTTATCTATGCTGTGTGTTTTCGTGAAATTAAATCATTGCATCAGGATAAATGAAAGTTAGATGATTTGCTTTATGAGTGCGATCTTTGCTGGGATGTCTCTAGTTGGCCACCACATTTGTAGTATGGGTAGACAGTCTATTGATCCTTCCCTGGTGGCTCCTTGTGTTTGGCAGAACTGGCAATCACAAAACATTTATGTAGAGTTTCACATATTTACTGTGATTTGATTCAGTTTCCTTGGCAAATTGTTTGCTTTTTTTGAGCATGTAGGGTGACAAGGATAAGAAAATTGAAGAGCTTACGAAAGAGTTGGAGCATCAGGAGCATTTATGTGCAACTTATCGTGAAAAACTAGTCAGTTTTATGAATAGCGTTGAGGAGCAAACAGAAGAACTGGCTTCAAAAATTCAACTTATTGTTGACAATGTCAGGAAAGTTGAATCAGAAGTGCAAAACTTTTCCCGCCGTAGATAGCCCTGGTGTTTAACGTTAGTATTTACTTTTGGTCATGAAAGCTTTTGATCATTCAGAATATGCCACAGAACCATTTTATTTTGCTCAAGATGTTTTAGGATTCGGCCTTATAGCATTATTCATTATGATATCTAAATTCTCTCTTTCTCTGTCAGCTGGTAGATAACAAAAATAGATGAGACAAGCCCCGGAGGGGAAACTGGAGCAGCCCAAATGGTGCTAGGCCCTCAAGTCATGCTTTGGAACTTCGTGGCTATTGCCATTATGCCTGCCCAGAGCTGAAATATACACTTCTGGACACAGCTCTATGTTGGTGCTCAAAATAACATTAATTGGTGAGCCAGCATAAATTGATTGCTGGGATTCTTCCAGTTGTATAGTAATCTTCTCCAGTAAACTCCTAGAGATATGTTGACTCGGCCATCTCATGATTTCTGTAATGTTTGCCTAGTAATTTTTTTTTTTAATTAATATGGGTGTTTAAGTCAGCTTGTATTTATTTTGATTAATTTTATAAGTTTTAAAGTTAATAATTATATAAAATTTTAATGGCTATGAGAAACTCGTGATTACTGAAAAGCAAATCCAAGAGTAACCTAAGACTGGGCTAATTGAGTTATCCCTTGTGGTGATGTATGTGTGGTAACTTAACACTACAAGTGCCTAGGATCAATGCTGGAATAGTGGTGCAGAAGAAACGATCATTATTGATCATTATTTTCTACGGTACTGGAGGCAAAAAAAGTATATGTTTTCCTGCTTATATGGTCAAATAATGTACTCCTTTCGGTTGGATGCTGGCTGCGATGCATCTCAGGTTCACCCGCACAGGAACTTTCTTCAAAGCGCCGCAGGGGAAAGTTGTGAAAGGTTTGAGAATATGTTGGGAATTAATTTTAAAGTTTTGTTAAAAAAATATTTTTTATTTTTTAAAAATTTGTTTTTATATTAATATATAAAAATTATTAAAAAAATTAATTTTAAATAAAAAAAGAGATTTAATGGACTTTTGATTTAAAAAAAAACATTATTTTTTTCTGTGAGTTGGGCTTGGGCAAGTGAAATTAAAATTGAAGGTTAAAGTGGGCCCAAGAAGCCCAGCCCGCTGGATAAAAAGACAAAAGGAGGTGATCGATCGCATACACCAGCGGTGCATCATGTTGGAGCTGCCTCTTAAACACTCTGCCATCCTAGGGTTTCTACTGCTTCTGCTGGTAAGCTCATCACCGCCTTCATTTTCATCCCTTTTCTTTTTTTCTTTCTTTTAAAAAAGAAACTATTTACTTAGCCCTTTTCCGTTTGGTTACCGAGAAAAGAAAGAGCTAGAATGTAACCATAGGTTATTTCACTATATATATATATATTGCTAGAATGTAACCATAGGTTATTTCACTACATATATATATATATATATAGGCTTAAGAAATATATTGTTTAGCCTTTGCCTTTAAAATGAAAGCTGAGTATAGGAGGGATTGTTCTATACGAAGTATTGTGTTTCTTTTGCTTTTTTCTCCTCTTTTTTCAGCTGAAAGGCTGAATTTTATAAATTATTTATCCAAAATAATTTAGTAAATGAGTGATTTTATTTTGGTTTCATCTGTATGTAGTTGATGGATGGATAGACTTGTCTAAATTTGAAGAGTACAATGGACAGCACTTCTAAGCAAGCATTTGATTTGGACGAAACCGAAAGTTGTTTTGTTGTTGAAAATTATGGTGAAAATGAGTTTGTGGACGATGAACTTTCAGAAAATATTGAATTATGTTTGGACGAGGTTGACAAGATTATAGAACAGTCTAGTGAAACTTCAGGTTCAATAAATGATGCTATGGAACCCTGCACCGGCATGGAGTTCAAGTCAAGAGATGATGCACGAGAATTTTATATTGCTCACGGACGGCGTACAGGATTTACAGTGCGTATCCATCATAACCGGCGTTCTCGAATAAATAATATGGTCATTGGTCAGGATTTTGTTTGTTCGAAAGAAGGATTTCGTGAAAAGAAATATGTATACAGGAAAGATAGAGTTCTTCCTCCACCACCTGTAACCCGAGAAGGCTGTCAAGCAATGTTAAGAATTGCTTTAAAAGATGGGATTACATGGGTTGTTACCAAATTCATTGCAGAGCACAATCATGAATTGATGTCTCCTAGTAAAGTACCATGGCGAGGATCTGCAAAAAGTTTGGTCAGTGAGGTATGTTTTCTCTGAAGTCACTTTCCATACAGCATTCTTCTGCCTTCTTTTGCCTGTGACAACCAAACCACCGTATCCCCAGTTTTTCTTAACCTCAATGTTTGCTTGAATAAATTCTGTATTCAATCACAGTATTGAAGACACACCCCTTAGTTAGAACCTTTCTAGCTCGGTCATGGTAATTGCAAAGACCTCATAAGATGTTTAGAGTTTAGACTATAGAGTAAAGCTGTATACAACATTTATATGATTGAACTATTTGTTGTAATTTGTCTCAAGCAATTCAATTTGGTGCTATAGTCTTAAAATTATGTGCTTCAGTGGTGATTAGGCTTATAAAGTTGATGTCCAGTCTTTCAGCAGACTAACTTAGAGTAGTCTCGGCTTGGTGTTTGGGCTTTTTAGGCACAGTCAATCAGGGGGGCATGTGTTTGATAAGAACTGAATGTTGTGGTGGATGCATACTGTTGTGGTAACTACTATGTAAATACCTAGGTTAGAAGATGAATTTTGAACAAAGATTAGTGAACATTCATCGTTCTCCTTTTATCATAAAACTTTGGTGATAGGAAGATGAGTTATGGCGTAAGCATATGAACCACTGAAGGCAAATACTTCCCCAGCTTATTTAACATTTTTCTCTAGCGTATTTGATTTGTTTCCTATTTAAAAGATATTTTGTTTCCCAGGATGAAAAGGATCGAAGAATACGAGAACTGACTATTGAGCTAAACAATGAGAAGCAACGATGTAAACGTAGGTGTGCCGCTTACCAGGAACAATTACGCATGGTGTTGTCATATGTTGAGGAACATACTATTCATTTGTCAAATAAAGTTCAGGATATTGTTAACAATGTGAAAGAACTTGAAAATGATATGGAGGATTCGGATTGCAAATATGTCTAGAATAAACAGTGCTCATTCTTTTCATAGTTGCTTTTTTACTAATACTTCAACTCATATTTAACTTGGATCATTAAGAATACCACGCACTTTGATTTTCAACCTTGGCAAACCACTCGACCGAGTCTATTTCAGTTTTGAGAGAGTAATGTGTGGAGACTGATACAAGGACGGAATGGTCTGTTCCTCATATTCATTGAATCGTTACATTGCATTTTCCTTTTGATAATTGACAGTTCCTCTGTGTGGACTGCCATTCCGAGAATATCCAAGGCTATCCACTGGTCCATGCAACTAACAGGCGAAGACTCCCTCTGTTGCGATAGCTAGCTCATTTTTTTTCTATAGCAAGACAACAGAATCACGGAATCCATCATGATGTGCAAGTGTAGGTAACTCTGCAAGTAAGACGAGAGTGTCAACAGTTCTGACCAATGCTTCTTGGCTACAAGGTTTAACATACCGGAGAAGATGACACGGTGGTGATGGGTGCATTTGGAGGCTCGAAAGGAATATCAGTTTCAGAGGTAATAATAGAATACTGGAAGATCAGTAATTGCTTTGGAGTAAAACATCCTGAAATCTGTTTCAATCCAACAGCAGGAAATGTGTAAAAAGCAAACATTAGCTCGAAATTGTTGGACTTGAGCCTGGTATTTCTATTATTTATAAGCTGAACTTTACGTTTAAGGGCCAGCCAGAAAAACCAACTCAATGACAATCCTGAACCAGAGCAGGTCTTTCTGAAGTTTGAAATTCTGCTTGCACTCAAATCAGAAAAGCTACGGCATAATGTTCACACAAATTTCTAAACCAGAAAGAAAAAAAATGACAAGCATCAAATATTGCTAGGTCACTGATTGTTTTTGCATTACAATCTATTTTTCAAAGTGCATTTTAAATTAATTTTTTATTTGAAAAGCCATTAAATTGAATTTTTTTTTTTTGGTTATTTTTGGATGATTTTTATGTGTTTATATTAAAAACAAATCTGAAAAAAATATTAATTTAATGTATTTTCAATTAAAAAGTATTTTCAAAAAACACTATAAACTATAATACTAAAACCATGAATTTTTCATGTATGAACTAGAACTAATAATTCTCCCCTTCTAGTGTATCTCTCTCTCTTCTAATAGTGTGTTTGGAAGTGTGATTAAATTATATTTTTAAAAAAATTTAAATTTTTTTATTTTAAATTATTTATTTATGTTTTTAAATTATTTTGATATATTGATATTAAAAATAAATTTTAAAAAATAAAAAATATATATTATTATAATATATTTTTAAATAAAAAATACTTTAAAATATAATTTTTATTGTATTTTTAAACAAGACTGACTAAAAATTCATTTGACTATGCGGCTACGACTACGGTTGAAATAAAACACAATAAATATATATTTGATTATAGAAAAAAAAACATATTTAATTATGGAAAAAAAACTGTTAACTATTTATAAGTCTCACTTTTTACTGTGTTGTAAACTCAATAATCACAAATAAACAGGAACTACTTTTGTTTCAACAATAACCAATGGGAAACATATATTTACACACTGTGCATGCTAATTAATTAGCATGCACAGTGTAACATG